TATTACCGACAAAGACAAGGGAGACTGGAATGGCCATTTCTAGCTCATTAGCCGTCGTCAGCCAGTCATACCCAACCCCGAAGTGCGGCACACCCGAGGCTCGAACTCGAGACCTGTTTGCTAGAAGTGCACGCCTCTAACCACTGAGCCACGGGTCCGTTGTCCTGTAGGTTTTCGATCGGTAATATGCAATGGTAGGGGGCGCTCACCGTTATTTGCACGTCTGATTATCGCCTGCGTCCAATTCCGATTGACTGTTATCTTCCATGGAACCTGAGCTTTCGATTTCAGTTGGCAGTGGCTTATTCAGTTGCCCAAATTACCTGAATACCGTTTTTGGTTAGCTTTTCGAATTCGTGCGCCTACTTGTTTAAATTTTAAGCTAACTAGGAAGCTTTCGGTGTTATTTCACATTTTTTCTCACGATTAATTTCTCGATTTCCTTTTGTGTGTGTCCGAAGGCCCCACCAGTATAATCCCTATTTCCACCATTCCCGTTAGACAGGGTCCTAAGGTTATCTGTTGCTGATTCCGGGTACAAACCATACTCTCACCACATTAGCACACGTATTTTGTCTCATGAGGTATTACTCCGAGCAATTATTGCCTCAATGCCTCGACTTGGATGAACTCTTGGTCTGGGGTCAGAAGTATTTGACTCGACACATCTCAATTAAAAGCACCCTTGTCCCAAAGAGATTTCAGCCTGGAGGCAATTTATGTAGGTCGGGGGTCACCCGAACAGGCAATAAGGCACGTCGACGAGGGCAGAGCTGTGGTGACCTTACTCCCAAGGGTCCACTGCCAAGCGGTGTGCCTCTAGACTGGGCCGCGGTAGATGCGCCGGACCAACATGGGGGTTAGATCGGATTCTGACAGGCGTTATCGGCAACGCGCACCCATAACAAATGAAAACAATGGGGGTGTGGTGCCATGCCCTGAGGTAGGTCTAGGCCACGCCAGTTGGTATCCCTGCTGCCCCACTCTTTTTAATGTATATTATCCTGATCAGTGTACTCCGTAGACCAGGGGTGCGAAGATATGCCCAGGTGCGGGCTTTCGCCGTGCCGGGCATCTGCGCCCTCCCCGCCTCCGGTCTTCTTGACCCTGTCTTCACAACGGATCCAGGTGGTGGGTGGTTCTACTATCACTATAAACTACTTCGAACGCCAGTCATTGTCCCTGATCTTATCCTGCTGTGAAGAACACGGTGGTAACCGTCCGTCACGACGATCAAACTGTCATCTGGTGCATGGCTGCGACTGTGCACCAGCCTCCGCAGTTACGATAAGCTTCGCTACCTCCTCCGCCAGTCGCAACCATAGTCTATATCGCGGTTTGTTTTGAGTCGCCTACATGACCTGGATAAGACCTGACCCAGTTCCGTCTTTAATAAAGTCGGCAAGATGTGGTTATGCAGCCCCAGCTGGTGGACACAATACTGTTGGGGTTGGGGTTAGGGACTAGGGTTAGGGCAACTATTTCTCAACCACTCAAAGTACAACTGCGCATTTCCAAGAGCTTTTCTTTTGCATACAATCACTTGACCTCGTCGCCTGTGCGTTCCCCAGTCCCACATGCAAAAACCCCTATCACCACCGATGCCGTATTACAGATGGCTGGGATTTATTTACTTCAGTTCCGGCCACAAAGTCTGTAGTGGGTGCAATTCTGCCCCCCCCCCGTCCCCAGGAATGCCAATCTTCTCCTAGTTGGGACCTGGCCTGAGGTTGGTAATGCATAGGCAAGGTTTACTACTGTTAAACGCGGCTCAAAAGTGCATGTCCTTTTGTGCTGAAATCGTAAACATTTAGGTCACGCTGGAGGCAAGGCTGGCCATCTGAACTCAGCACGTTTCAGGGTTGTGCTGCATTGCTTGGTGTCAAGCAAGTTCAGACAAGCTTCTATGCAAATGCTATTGCCGCGTACTAGGGGTCTGACTTCCGAGGCGCAGTATGGTACATTTTTTCAAACTCAAGGACAAGAGCCATCTGCGAGACCAGTCGTCCAATCGACAAAGACCTTTGAAGTTGGTCTCGTCAGCAGCGTTCTGGATGACTTTCCAGATTTTCATGTCATCTGCAAACATGGCACTATCACAATCCAACCCATCTACACAATAACTTATGAGCAAGGGAAAGATGGTTGGTCTAAGCACCGAGCCTTGTGGGACTCCACTCTCTATGAATGCGTGCCTTGATTGCTGCTGTTCTACGCAAACAATTTGGGGACGGCCGACGAGGAAATTTTCGATCCAATTGAGAAGTTTGCCGCCGATGTCCATGACTCACAACTTGTAGAAGAGACGCTGGGGCGGAACACTGTCGAACGCCTTCCGGAAATCAATATAAGCCACATGCGCAATGTGTATTGCATCCAGTATGCTTGTCCACCTTTGCATTGTATATAGCAAGTTCGTGACAGATGACCTTCCCCTACGGAAACCGTCTCGTGCATTGAACAAGAGGTTGTTGGTTTGATACTGTTAAACGCGGCTCTAAAGTGCATGTCCTTTTGTGCTGAAATCGTAAACATTTAGGTCACGCTGGGGTAAGGCTGGCCATCTGATCTCAGCACGTGTCAGAGTTGTGCTGCAGTGTTTGGTGTCAGGCGTGTTCAAACAAGCTTCTATGCATTCTAAATCCTAACGAATTTCTAGCATTCCCTGCGTCAGCCGCATTCACGTCAAAATACAATAGAAAGCCATAGGGGCCCATATTAGAAATTGAAATTAATTCTTGTCCTTTTCATGGAAATAAAACTGCGTTTATCTTAAAGTAACTACTCACTCTATTTTGCTCAAAATATTGTCCGTCGGCAAGTATAAAATTTTCGATCATCCGGGTAAAGATGGCTTAAGCGGCAGAGAAAGTTTTGCTCATTCTATCGAGCCATTTTAAAGTTTCTTCATAGGAACTGCAGCGCCACCCAACAAGGTTGTGTTGCATCAACCGAATAAAGTGATGATCTGATGGGAGAAGATCGGGTGGATATGGCGGGTTGGGTGGAACTTCCCAGCTACATTTTTCCGATACTTCCTTCACTCGTTGTACAACACGGGGCCCCGCGCGTTCGTGCTGCAAAGTCACCTTATCATGTCCTCTTCCATATTCTGGCTCGACTCAATTAGGGATAAAGGGCTGTCTACCCAGAGGCATCCGTGCATCAAGCAAATGGTGACTTAAGTGATATCTACCTCTCATCTTTGCCGTCCCACATCTGCGCCACGACTACACCCCAGTGACACCCTCGATCGGTAGGCTAAACTAGACGAGGGTATCCACCCATTGTCCGATAATTCTATTCCCATCTCCGTCTCCTCCCTCCAGCCCTCCCCCACTGTCCCCCCCCCCCTCCTTCCCCGTCTTTCCCCCTCCTTCCACTTCAACAGCCACACGAATGATATCGACATGCAGATCGGAGGCAACCAGAATAGCTCGGGCCGCTCTAAATTAAACGAAGCCGCGATCCATGGTGGAATTAGGCAGCCGTGGCGGATGTCTAAGCAGCCTTACTTAGGGATAGCACTCTTTACCACCTCGAGGATAATAGGCTAGAGAAGGTGCCCTAAACAACTGCTAGGAAATCACACCATCTGCTAATATACACTGGCTCGTAGATGCAAAAGTCGCGGTCGGGAAAACGACAAAGAATAACAACAACGACAACAACAATAACAGCCCTCCCCTCCCCTCAGATCCGCCTCACAGGCTGATTGTGTGAGTTAGATTACTCTGGCAGCCTGGAATGTTCGTCCTCATTTAGACAATTCGAGGAGCAACCGGTCGGAAGGGAGGACGACGATGATCACTCGGAAACTAGCATGCTACGAAGTGGATAGCCCTGCTCCCAGCGAGACCTGTTTTCCAGAACTGGGTCATATGGGGGTGGCGGGTGTCGGCTACCCCATCCTCTGCAGGAGTCGCCCACCTGCAGAGCGGCGCGACACAGGAGTCGCCTTTGCCACCCCTAGCGACATCATCGGACGACAACCCTGACTGCCGCAGGGCTTCAATGACCACCTCATGACTCTACGTCTGTCTCCTCACGGAGTCCAATTCACCGCTATCATCAGTGATGTTCATGAAATGAAACTTTTTAAATTAATGTTAGGCCAATTCACAAAGTATGGTTTTGTCACGTGCTCGTCAGTTCTAGCATAACCCCAATAGTGAAAGTTGTCTGGTGATGGCATGGCAGAACGACTGGCTCACTCGTGCACGTTCAGCTTCTTTAAAGATGTCACGCGAAAAGCCAGATCTTGGCAGGAAAACCTGCCAACGGCTACTCCTTCCTGTTCATTTTGGGCGGTCAGAATACTGCGAGTAGGCTCGTGTCAATTTCGCCGTCGACTGGATTTTCAGACGGTCCCCACACTGTTTTGACCGTGCTGGATTTGCACCCAAGCGCCGGATGACCGATCTCGGCTGCCATGACGAGACCGTTTTGCCAGCCTCAGGCAGTGGTGATCTATAGTTCATGTCACTGGTGAATGATCTGGCAGGACAGGTGAATGAGTACCTCCCATACAACAAATGTTCTTCCATGGGGCACCTATCCCCTGTCCTTACTTTAATTGCAACACTGACCCCATCCTCTGGAATTTTGCGCAGGGCCACCTGTAATGGGGGGAGGGACAACGAGTGGTTATCCAAACGGCACTTCTATGGAGATGTCGTCATGGGTTCCCTCCGAAAAGGCGGTCAAGTTGGGCGTTACAAGGACACCCTGAGGGCTTCCCTGTAGCGCCTGCAAATCAACCCAGCCAACTGTGAAGACCTCGCCCAGGACCGACCGGCCTGGAGGAGAGCAGTTAAGACAGGCACAGCAATCTACGAAGCCAACCGCGCCCCCGACGCCAAAGCCAAACGCGGACCTTGCAAATTACAACTGCCCCCGCCTCGCAACACCAACCCCAAGATGCCAGCGGACGTTCCGAGCACCAATCGGTCGTATTGGACACCTCCGGACCAACTGCCGCGCATAGACGACATCACCTGATGTCCTCCCGCTCACAACTGCCTCGCACCCCACGTAGACAATTAGAAATAACCGCACTCCTAAACCCCCCACTGTCATCCTTCATCGCCTCAACATCTGTTGCAGCGTCTCCTGCATCCACCATCGCACACAATCTTCACACGCCAGTAAACATCAACCTCATCATTGGCAAGACACAGGACTCGGTCCAAACCTGTCCTCATTGTGATCGTGCCTTCGCCTCACACATCGGCCTGGTCGGTGACTTGCGAATCCACCGCACAGAGGCTGGCGAATCAGTGCCTGGAGTAGCCACATACACTCGCCGCATCTGCTCTCACTGTCACCGCAAATTCACACACTGCATGGGCCTTCTACATCACATGCGCATCCGCGAGATCGGAAGTCACCGCGGTCATGACACACCCGGCATATCTTGCACATCCGCCATGCCTAGCCCAACCCACATCCCGCTGTCCAGTGTCCTGAACATCGGCATCTCCACCACCATCGCCATAACTGAAACCGATCCTGAGACCGACGATCTATCCTGCCCACATTATCCACGCACCTTCACCTCACGCATCGGCCCGGTCGGTCGCTTGCGAATCCATCGAACAGACTGGCGAGCCAGTGCCTGAAGCACCCACTTACACCCGCCGCATCCGTCCTCACTGCCACGCATGGGCCTATTAGACCACGTGCAGTAGACAGCCGCCGACTAAATCACACCGTCACACCCTCCCCATCAAAACCCGCACCACACATCAACATCATCCATCGCAAGCATCCAATTGCCACCACTCACGCAAGTGGGAAGTGGGCTTTTTGGTCCCTTCTCCATGCGGCTCCTCAGATGTATGTAACCCGAGTCTGAGACTATCATGGTGCTCCAAGCGCCTTGGCTTGGAGGGATGAGGACGGACGCCCCAAATCAGTCAACGCAATCTACCCAGTTGTGTGTGTGCCTGTTTGGAGCGGCGGACTGAGAGCCATGCTGTAACGGTTCCTCCCTAACTTGACCTATGGCACTCTCACGCATGTGACATTTATGCCGCCCGACCCCCATTGTGCGAAATCATGGTGCATGTGTTTGGGGGGCCAGGTCCTGCACATGGCGCGCGCAGACAAGATCATCAGATAAGCCAACCGCCGCGCTCATCGGGCACTGACTGAGGCCTGGGAATGGGAAGGGTGAGGTCGACGACTCAGCACATTTTCCTCACTACAAACAATCTGACGCGCTTAAAGCTATCACGGTGCGCTAGAAGCCGTGGTTTGGAAGGTTGTCAACTGGCGAGATAATGCGGACCTCGCAGTCCGCCCAGTGTTATGTGTTTGAGTGGAGCCGCCAAATGGTGGTCCAAGAGACAGGCTGAAATGGCTCCTTCCTCATGTGGCCTTTATGGATCTCCCAGTCCGTGGGATCCAAGCGAGGTGTGGCGGCAAGCCTAGGGCGGCTTCGGCAACGTCAACTACCAGCACCCTCGTTCATCTCTCGTTTTCTTGACTCTGTCTTGACACCGGGCCCAGGTGTTGAGGAGGGAGTGCGATCGGTGCTTTGCAAGCCTGCTACCATTGTAAACTAAATCATGCAAAGTCACCGCGCCTGGTCTCCTCCTGTTGCGGGGCACACGGTGGACATCGTCGGCAACGACGGCCGAACTGCCATCGTTTGTGTGTGTGTGTGTGCTTGGAAAAATCCACCTTGTCGTTCCGCATAACCGCTGTGTGACGTCAGCAAACCCGACGACAACGGGATCACTCTAAATACCGAAGTACTGCGTCGTATACTGAGACGGCTTAGCTGAGAGAGATAGAGAGAGAGGGGTGCATAATGTCCGAATGGTTGGCCAGTCGCTCTTGAGTACTTGCGCCGGTCGGTTAAGAACCGAGCAGTGTTTAACCTAAGGCTGACGGACGCAGACAGGCTTCGAAATGAGATGAATTGTACGATCTCGATACTTATGCAAATTAAACAAATTTCCCGCCGATGTTGCTCAGGGGGAATTTTGGAAGGCTGGATCGGTTCCGAGAAAACAAAACTATTATAGGAAGTGGAGAACATTTAACAGCAAATACACAAAGGAAGACACGCAACAGGTAGTACTCATTCAAAAGTTGCGGGGAAATTAAACAACTACTGCAGAAGGCTCGAGGATAAAAACTTGCGGGAAAAGTAACAGAGGGGGAAGGAAAAACCTTACAACTGTTGCGTAATAATGATAAGGGGAGTCCCTGAGACATAGAGCGGAGAGGAAATCTCCCACAGAAGCAGAGAATTCCCTAGGAAGATTTCTTTTCCGTGGGCGGCGGATTGAGGCGCGCCATGCCGATGTTGATTGAGGATGCGAAGCAGAGCCACAGGACATATGGCAGCATCAGGAGGCCAGCGGTTGGGTTAACCTTGTAGAAAAGGTAGTGGCTGCCCAACGCTGCGATCGTCGTGCTGACAATTATCACGACCGACTTGATGGAAGGAGAAGGCGAGAGAGAGGGAGACACAGGTTAGTCTGCGGAGGGCGTATTACGAGGCAATATAGTAAAAAATACCGTCATTTTCAGACATGGATGAGTTCAGGCGCGATGAACACCACCACTGACGGGAATAGAGCAACACATTGACCTGAGCGCACAGTTGTTTAGTGTGAAGCAGGCTCATATTAAGCTAGATTGACTACACCCAGATGCAGGTCTCCGCACATACGAGGGGTTATCGAATTTCACATACGCTAGTGTCGAAACGACAATACACTCGGTCCGTGGTCCGTAGCAACGACTCCTGCCCAGCTTGGCCTCGTGATGACCGTCATGGGCGTGAGAGCTGGGTAAGTGATTTGACAAACCGACAGCACAGATAGCTAGCTCAGAGCCCAGACACGCGTGTTTCGCTGGGATTCTGTCGTCTGATGACTTAGCTGTGAGGGGTTGGGCTCGTCAGTGGGCTCTGCAGCTTTCCCTGTGCGCTTTCTAGTAAGCAATCCTGTTCTGAAATTGTGGATTTTTAATTTCCCAGCGCATTCAATTGGAGTAAATCATTCGGAACGAAGCCCTATAGGCACAGACCAGGAGTTCGTACTAATACTTGGGCCAAAATCCATCGGCTACAACGGAGTGACCGCGTAATATTCATCAACTGCCAGCACACAGTTGGTAGTCTACGTACTTCGTGTGATTTTACCATAGTAACAATGTACAGTAAATGGGCTAACTCATGAAATGTCAACCGAAATTCCGAAACGCGCTTTCGTTTCGAAAAGATTAATTAAGCAGGGTTGTAGAACTAGCCAGCCTGCAGCATAAGTCTATAATAGTCCAGTTACCTCAGGATGCCGACTTTCGAGTGAACTCCCTTCCGGCTGCATGCAAAAACCCGACTCTGTAAAAAATGACTACCTAATTAGCATGAATTTTTCGCATTGATTTTCGATGCCCCCTAAAAGTCCAATTATATTTCATGGAAAATATGCATAAAAATTTTCATTCTTTTGCTCGTTCGGTAGAGAACTACGTCCCCTTCTAATTTTATGCTCGAGGGAGGAACATAATTCGGTTTTAAAAATTTTTTTCCAATTCCCAAATAATTTTGAGCCCGCTCTAGCGTTACACTTGGATTCAGGGTTTCCAGACTACAGGCCGTAGCTTTTCTGCGTACAAAAAACCACACATTTCGATACGGTAATGAAGGGGGACCATGTAGGGTTCATAAAACTGTTGTTGTTAACTTTGCAAGCCACAATGGTAAATGCAGACATGTGACGGTTTATGAACGGCCATTTCACGGTATTTAAAAGTCCCACAATTAGAAACTTTTTTAAAACCAAATTATGCATGAGAAAAATTCATGCTACATAAGTAGTCATTTTTTACGGAATGTGGTTTTTGCAGGCAGCCGGAACGAAGTTCACTCGAAAGCCGGCATCCTGAGGTAACTGGACTATTATAGAAGTATGCTGCACGCTAGCCAGTTCTACAACCCTACTTAATTTATTTTTTCGAAACGAAAACGCATTTCGGAATTTCGGTTAACATTTCATGAGTTAGGCCACCTACTGTACGTAATATGGGAGCTTAGATGTCTTCATTCGAAAAAAAAGATTGTTAGACGAATCATTTTAGGTCTAAAAATTTTTTTTAGAATGAAGACA